AAAAAAAAAAAAAATTGTGATGTGGTCCAACATAATTCCCCACACCCCCTTTTACCATTTCATGACGCTAATGTACAATTTTGAACTCTATTCTAAAATTTCAAAAATAAAAGAAATACTAATAATGTACTCTCACACAACACCACCCAAACACTCATGTAGCCTAAAAAAGGAAAGAATATAATAAAATGAAATTGTCATTTTATCTCTGCAGTTGTTGATAAGCACAAAATGACAAATAAATCGAGAAATAAACGCTTTTATAAAAATGTGAATATTGCTTTTTATACCTCTACAATGTTGTTTCTATCATTTATGTGGTGAAAATGAATGGGACAAAGGAGAAGAAGATTGTGGATAATGCTTTAAGTAACAATATCATCTAACCAAATTTCGTAATTGAAGCCTAAAAATTAACTTCATACAATGTCTAGCATTTTAGTTGGATTGGTGAAAAGTAGAATGATTGGGATAAAGGAGAAGAAGAGCGTGAGTAATGCTTTAAGAAACAACATGATCTAACCAAATTCCATAACGGAGGGCCTAAAAATTAACTTTATATAATGTCTAGCATTTTATTTGGATTGCTGGAAAGTAGACCTCAAACTTTGTTAAAGTCCAATTATTCTACTGAGAAATGTAACTCATCAAGGTAATATTTATCTGTAATAATCAACTTTTTATCAGTATCTGAGTGGTGGTGTTTCTTCTCGTTAATCTCAATCATAAATTTTGGCATCATCAGCAATAGAGCTCCAGTAATTGATAGAAACATCTGATGACCACTAAGAAAAAAAAAAAGTGAATAACCATTTTCTTGTACGTAACTGTAGCAAGTTGAAAAATTAAACATTGATTGGATAATATTTATACAAGATAACTTGCCTCATTTGATCATTCCTAACTCTCTGAGGCTTCTATGCAACCAGACGCTATCTTCCTTGTCCTCCATCTATTCGAGCCAAATTCATCCTTCATTTCAACTTTTGGTGGAACTAATCTAAAAATTATTAAATAAGTAATCATACACCAAAACAGAAAGATTAGATATTCAAAGTTAAACAAATAAGAAACACATGATACATTAAGTGTGATTTTATAAATAAATATATAAATTGAAAAGTAATTATTAGAGAAGTAAAAACCATATATTTGTTACAAAAAGAAAACATAGAAAAAGCAACAAAAAAAGGTAACGCGTAAAGTAGAGCATGAGTTCAACAACCTTTATTTTCATAGTTTGACAGGGTCATTGGGGAAAGTTGTCTACCATTGCAATTTGTAGGCAGTGAAATTGAGAAATGATCGGATTCTAGGCTCGTCGACTTGAGCTTGTGCTCAGAGTTTCGATTAAAACCACAACACTGTACACAAAAGATATTCACTATTTTGACACTCACAATAAATTATAAGATGCAAGCAAAGAGTCTGATTGAGGTTCCTAACTTAAACAAAGCAAAGCTTCTTCTGACCTGGAGATGCCGAACCATCGGGTTATCTTCAAGTCGGCTCCATAAGTTAAATGATCCAGTGCATGAGAATATCCTCCTGCCAAGTGTGAAAAAGAGAACATCGATAACTAATAAACACCATAATCGAGCATGACTAAGTCGCAAGCGTGTTTGGAGATTATCAGAAAGAATTCAATTAACAAAAATTAAATATACACATTATATGCGTTATATTATATTAGAAAAATTACAACATCACATTCATTTCAACATTATGAAAACTAATATTATATTCTACCAGCCAAATATAAAAGAGATCCTTCAACAGCCAAGCGTTGTGCTTCTCTCTTGTTCTACCAACTCCTTCACAAACTCTTTCCCCAGCAAAGAAGACCTGCAGAAGATAAACATAATACAACTACATTGGTCCTTGACAATATCTTTAACATTATACACGAGTGTCTCAACTCGTTCCTCATTTTTCCAAAATATATATAAATAAAATTGGGGAAGTATGGATCCACCTATGTTCTCTGTATGTATTCGAGTCTGAGTAAGGGAGAGAGTAAAAAGAAAAAAAAGACTGTAGGGAAAAGGCAGAACATTAATTTTTTATTTTTTTCCTCTAATCCAAAATTCCTCCATTAGAAAGTCCGGAATCACCTCTACAAGAAACTGTAATTATGTGCTTGACAATATAGATTGCTTGTACTCCACCTACATGTATTTGAAGTAACCATCTGAGAAATTTAGAAGTGAGCCACAAAACAGTAAGAAAAGATAAGGCGTCAAATGATGTTTAGTACCTTTGTTCCACACATGAACTGGATTCCTGTAACGCTACAGTACATGTTTCAGGGTAGAGACTAATCTGTTCAGCTTCAAGTTCGAAATCTTTATTTGATGAAGGTGGCTGAGGTACAGGGCCATCTCTACCTACAAAAATATGGATACACAAATAAAATATCAATTTCATTAATGAAACTAAGCAAGTACTTGTGTTTGAACTGTGATTGAAACATACTGTGAAACTCATCTCAAGAAAAATAATATTACATTAGATTCCAAACCCTAAGTTCAAGCAAGATCGGTCTTTTGGGAAGTGTAATTCGGATGTGAAACTACATCAGCAGTTATCTGATAAATGCATCTTTTCCACTTATGGTAACAAAAGCAGAATGCTCACCCATAAAAGACTGATAATCAGGCGCTGATTGATTTGATATCAATTGTTCTTCTCTTGGAAATACCTAAATGAATAAAATCTCTAACATCAGGAAACTCTTCAGCACTGAAAGCCAATTAAAAGGTTAACAAGATGAATACAAATAAATCATTTACCTCCTTTGGCACCAGGAAAATCAAGTCATGTAAAAAGCCCAAACAAATTGAAGCAATAGCATATTAGAAAAATAAATGGATAACGAATTTAGAGGAAAAAAATTGGTAGGACAGATTTGTTGTAGATGTGTGGACTAAGCTAAAGTCTAAAATCCAACCTTGGCTATAGCGAAGGTAAACCCACCTCGATCATCTCAACATTCCTAGCCTGCTTAGAGCTATCGACATCGAACGAAAGAATCCCCATGGAAAGATTCGGATCGGTCAAGAATCTCTGGTCCTCGCCGACGAAAAAATCCAATCCTTTTTCTTCGAACACATTCACATCAAAAGTTGGATTCACGATTTATGAAAAGGTTGAAGAGATGGGGTGAAGAAAGCGGCGGAAAAGCAAAAGTTCAGCCTAAAAACTGGATCTATCGCTTGGGTTCTTCTTGGATGAAGAAGACGAAGGTGTTGATGCGGTGGGGGTGGATTTCTTGCTGCCGCGGCGGCGGGAGCTGAGGGAGTCGCCGGATGAGAATTTTTGTGGGTTCGTAATTTGTGGGGGAATTGGGGTTTCGGAGAGGAGAATTTGAGAGGATTATTAAAATGGGCTTCCAGTGCCTTCCTGACCGAATAAGAAAAACCGAAAAAGAAGCGAAGCCAAAAAGAAGCTAAATCACGTAGCCACGTGTCGCTTTTTTAGAAGGTCTTCTATTTTCTTATAAGTTAAGAAGAAGGTAGATATAATTGTTAGCTAATCGTTAAATAAAACCTCATAAATAAAATCTAATTAATAAAACCTCATTTATTTTCCCTCCAAAAGAAGTTACAAAATTTGTCATTCATATTTTTTCTCTCACTATAATACACCCCTATTAAGTGTAATCATGCAAAAAAATTAGTAGCATTAACTATTATATAATATAATAGCAAAAAAATAACATTAACTACTATAATAATAATAATAATAATAATAATAATAATAATAATAATAATAATAATAATAATAATAATAATAATAATAATAACAACAACAACAACAACAACAACAACAACAACAATAATAATAACTACAACACTAATAATAATAATAATAATAATAATAATAATAATAATAATAATAATAATAATAATAATAATAATAATAATAATAATAATAACAACAATAATAATAATAATAATAACAACAATAATAATAATAATATCTTGAAACAGTAAAATTGTTTATTCTTATGTAATTTATATTAGTGTGAAATATTATGAGTTGGCAATAGCATTAACTATTATATAATATAATAGCAAAAAAATACATGATTATACTTAATAGGGTGTATTAATGTGAAAGGCAAAATATGAATGACAAATTTTGTAACTTCTTTTGGAGGGAAAATAAATGAGGTTTCATTAATTAGGTTTTATAAATACATGATTACACTTAATTAGGCTTTATGAATGATATTATTATTATTATTATTATTATTATTATTATTATTATTATTATTATTATTATTATTATTATTATTATTATTATTATTAT